CATATCCGAAGTGGATTTCTATTCACTTTTATGTTAACCTTGCCCAAATCAGGAAGTGTGTATATAGAGGATGAATACTTATATATAAGTGATATGAAGGATAATTATGTATAAGAATAGTTAAACTCGTGATAACAATATCGTACGTAGCAATCAATTATATATAAGTAGCATTCTAGTTCGTTTTTAACCGAGTTCAAAAAATGAGGAGGTTCACAATTCGATGGTAGTTTTTTTGTGTATGTTACGCGTTTACTCCGATATTTGTGAACTGATTTCGATGATTCTTTTTTTTGTTAGAAAGGGGGTAACTTCAAGTTTGAATGAGACCAGTAGTGGTCTGAATGGGACCACTACTGGTGAAATCGGTTAACGGAAAGGGATTTCACCCACTTTCCGTTAACCGATTTCAATACAACTTGGCACATAGATGTAATTCCACTAACTTTTGGGGTTAGTTTTTTATAAAAAACTTGTAATTATATATAGTGCAAGGGCACAGCATAGAAGTAGAGCAGATGGCACTTTTTATATGAAAAGCAAATCACCTAAACCACTCAAAAGAACATACTTACTAATAACACTTCTTACTTTCTATATCGATGTATTTTTTTTTAGATCGAGTGGATACCTAGTATTTCTTTTATCTGTTTCGAACAATTAGAGCTTTCAAGCTTCGTTGCATTTCCGCGTCCAGGGAAAAAATATCGAGACTCAGTGCGATCTCGAATATCCCGGGAAAAACGAGACTTTCGAGACTTTTAACTGCCTCCGTGGCCGAACAGTTACCATGCCGGACTGCCACGTAGAGGTATCAGGTTCCATTCCCGACCCGGAAGAAATATTTGTATGGCCCACATTTATTTCTCTCGTGAGTTAGGGTGTACTTTGTGGTTGTCTATGCATGGACATACATGGCACCTGCGACACAGGGTTTCCCTAGTGTGGGGCTATGTTGAGTGTGTGCGTTATTATTATTATTATTATTATTATTTTAAACTCTCGCCTCTCCCAAGGCCTAAAAGATTAATTTTGAATTTTTAAATGGGAGAGACGGTATTTCCCGGCAATTGTTCTTGTTGTTGTTGTTGTTGTTATTGTTATTGTTATTGTTATTGTTATTGTTATTATTATTATTATTAAAAGTAGGTTTCCATACTTATATACCAGACATTTAGTAGTCAAAAAATGAGATTTAAATTAAGTTCTTTATTAACACAAATTATAAAATGAGAAATTATTTATGAATATTATTTTTTCATTTTTATAGTGGGTACTTAATAAAGTTTAAATGGCGTTTAGTAAAGTTTTAAATGTAGAGGACCTGATTTTGTTACTACGTTTTTCAGTCTTTATGAATATACTAAGCTACAATCTACAGTGTTACCATGTCCATGTCGCCAGAACAAAAAATAACTGATGATTTAATAGATTTTTAATACTGTTTAATGACTTAAGAGTCTATACAATCTCAAATGGCTTTGGTTGATTCCGCATAACAGTGAAAGCTTTGAATCAATTACTTTGGACATAATACAATTTAGAATATACACTGATTACTATATGGTATGAAAACACAACAAACTTACCTCGGAATTTTACAAGAAAACCGCTGTATTCAGTAGGTACAATATACCAAGGATTTTTATATCAACTGAACTAAATAGATCACGTATATACTATACAACATACATTTTTCAAAAGGCTTTAATTTCGTTTGTGAAGAAATAAATTCTGAAATAAAGCCAGCCAGACCCCCCCCCCCCCCCCCCCCCCCCC